TATGTAACAAGTCCTGCTCTAGGCACTCAGGATACAAGTGGAATACAATGGACACATGTTCCTGCCTTCAGGGAGTTGGCGGCAGAGGACTGGGGTGGGGACGGTGTAAGTATGAGGTCCCTGGTGGATGATGGCACCTCTCCCATGTCCCCAAGGATGGAGCACCCCAGGCACAGTCACAGACTGGGGGTCCCGGGGATACTGTGAGGAAAGTGTCCAGACCCCAGGCTGAGGCTGGTTGGAGCCTCTCACTGGAGGCAGGCAGGGACCCCAGGTTCCCTCCTCCTTCTCCTCCCTCCTGAGCATCACTGATGTTTCCATGGGAATCAGGTTTCTTTGTCCCGAGGGGAGGATCTTGACCTCTTGCCCACAAAGTGCCTCCCACATGTTCACCCATCCATTGATGGAGCACCTACTGTATACCCCGTCCTGGGGACACAGTAGCTAACAAGATACAGCCTGTATGCCCCGGTCTGGGATGAGAAAGGGATAGAAAAGCAAGCCGACAACCACATTTAAATAAGTGAAATGACTTAAATGCCCATCCACGGGGCAGTGGCAGATGAACGATGAAAGCATCAGGCTCTGGAAAGGTGGATGGGGGTCAGGAAGGCGGGGGTCCGTAGGCCTTGCAGGAAAGGAAGTCTAGGCTGTAGCAAGTGAACCAGTAGGTGCTGTGTTTTTGCCATTTGTGATTTAAACTAGAGCTGCCCCTATGTCCGCGAGTTTGCCTGTCTACCCCAGTCTGGACCTGCCCGGGCCCTTTGTCCACTCTCTCTGCTGAGGTCAAACATTCCTGCTCTGGACCCAGGAGGCCCAGTCACCACAGGCTGCCCTCCCGGGCCATTCTCTGGTCACTGGCTCAGTCTTAATCCCTCACCCGGGCTCAGGCCTCGGAACCGATGAGTCAACACAAGCCGGCTCTGGACAAACACCCCCTCCTCCTGGCCCTGGGGTCCCTACTCCACACCCACCCAGTTCATCCTCTTCCCAAGAAAGGGTGCAACCTCTGCTGGTCCAGGGATGACTCAGAGCAGCCCTGGCCAAAGGAACTTCCTGCAATGCCGGAAATATTCTGTATTTTAAGGGAAGCACGAGCCACGTGTAGCTATTGAGCGCTTGGAATGTGGCTCGTGCAACTGGATGTTTAATTTTGTTGTTTATATTTTTTATTTACATGAACATATGACATGTTAAATAGCTGCCTTTGGGACTTCCCTGGCAGTCCAGTGGTTAGGAATCTGCACTTGCATTGCAGGGGGCGTGGGTTTGTTCCCTGGCTGGGGAGCTAAGATCCCACATGCTGTGCAGTGTGGTCAAATAAATAAATAAATAGCTGCCTGTGACTGCTGACTGTCACATCGGGTGGCCCCAGGCAGAGGGGAGAAGTGGATGGCCCGGAACCCTGGCCTCTCCTCAAAGCAGGGGCAGCTTGGGGTAGGGGCTGGTTGGGCAGCTAGGGCCTCAGGGACTGAGCTGTGGGGGTCACTTGGGGTCTGTTGAAGGGGCCAAGTTTAGCTTTCAGAGCCTGAGGCTGTCTGCCCCTAGCCCCTTGGTCTGACCCAGCTTGGTGGGCAGAATCATGACCCGAGCTGACCTCTTGATGTTGGAGTGCCATCTCCAGCACCATGGGCCAGCCTCCTTCACCCCTCCCAGACCTCTGACTCAACGCAATCGCAGCCCTACCTCTTCCTCTGCCCGTCCCTGCTCCCCGGCGCTGATCTGACTTGGATAGGGGGCTGGCGTAACATCTAATCTGCTGAAAGGCAAGAGCGACACTCCTCCTTTCAACCTAGTGGAGTCAGAGGCCACAGCGGTCCTGGCCCAGGTCCCCGTGAACACAGAGCTTGGGTGCAGGGGCTTTGCTTTTGAAAGTGACCCTTGGGCACAGGAGCAGGGACATGGGGGAGAGCACCCCAGGAGAGGCAAATCAACCCAGGGTACAGTCGCAAGCTGGGCCCTGCAGTGGGCTAATGGTGGTCCCCCAAAGACAACAAGTCCAAGTCCTAACCCCCTGCAACATGGAAATGTGAACTTATTTGGAAAAAGGGTCTTTAAAGATGTAATGAAACTAAGGATCTCAAGGTGAGATCATCCTGGATTTACCGTGGGCCCTGCATCCAACGACAGGAGTCCTTATAATAGAAAGGCAGAGGGAGACTGGAGACAGAGACACATCAGCAGAGAAGGCCATGGGATGCCCGACTTAGGCAGAGATTAGAGAGATGTGGCTTGAGGAAGGAAGAAGAGGCCACAAGCCAAGGAACACAGGCTCCAGAAGCAGGAAAAGGCAAGGAAACGGATTCTCCCCTCAGAGCCTCCAGAAGTACATCCCTGCCGACACCTTGATCGTAGCCCAGCGCGGCTGATTTCAGGTTCTGACCTCTAGAATTGTAAGATAATACATTTGTGTTGTTTTTTAAGCCACTAAAGAGTGTGCTGATCTGTTACAACAGCAGTGGGAAATTCATACATGGGGTCCCTTCTTCCCTTCCCCACAGGGGACTTTATCTGCCACCATCATGGTGACTCTGGGCCAAAGGAAGGTCATGGGTGGAGGTGGAAGAGTAGGGGGTCAGGGAGTGGGTGTCTCCTTCCCCTTCCATCTCAACGCCATGCTCTCAACAGAGTCTCATGGGAGATGGACCCTCTCTCCAAGCTGGCACTATTTACCACTATTTTGTTTCAGACTTTTCCAATGTGATTTTTTTTTTATTATTGTGATCAAATATACATAACATAAAATTTACCATTTTAACCATTTTTAAGTGCAAGTTCAGTGGCATTAAATACACTCACACTGCTGTGCAACCATCACCACTATCCATCTCCACAACTTCCTCATCTTGCAAAACTGAAACTCTGCACCCATTAAACATTAACTCCCCACTCCCCCTCTCCGTGCCCTGGCAACCACCCTTCTACTTTCTGTCTCTGTGAACTTGACGACTCTAGGTATCACATATAAATGGGATCATATAATATTTGTCCTTTTGTGTCTGGCTTCTTTCACTGAGCATAATGTCTTCAGGGTTCATCCATGAACCTTTCCTTCCTTTTTTAAGGCTGAATAATTTCCGCATTATCCCCATGTTAAAGGAGGGGACACTGCAGCCACATACACTGCAGGGACACTGGAAGGTAACAGAGCCAGAACTCACACCCAGGCCAACCTGACTCCGGCACCCAGCACTCACCACTGTGCCGCCCAGCCCCCTCCCTAGCTCCCTGCTGACTCTCCTGGGGCATCCTACCTTCCTTTCACTTCCTCCCCTCCTCGCTGAGAGCTCCTGGGGCTCAGAGGCTTTACTTGCCTTTGGACCCCAACTCCACATGTAGCGCCTGCTGGAATCCCAAAGCCTGTGTGGAAGTGACTGGACTTGGGGGTGGGCTGGGGGTTGAGGTGGGTGGGGCCTGGCAGTATGGCCCTCTGGGTGAGGCTCCCCTGGACTCAGCCTCCGCTCAGTTAAAGTGGCCCAATGACCAGGACAACCACACAGAGTTGTGCAGGCTACAACCTACATACCTGTACATGGCCACCCTGCCAATGACCCTGATGGCCCTGGAAGGTCCCCAATCTAGGAGGTCTCTGAGCTCTGCTCTTGGGAGGAGGAAGAAGGAACAGGATTAGGAGCAGCCCAGGACAAATGAGATGTGAGGCAGAAAGCAGACTGAGGGTTGCTGGAGCTGGGGGGAGGGAGGAAGGAGGGGTGACTGCTTGATGGGTATTGGTTTTCTTTTGGGGTGATGAAAATGTTCCGGAACTAGACAGCAGTGATGGATGCAAAGCCTTGTGAATGTACTAAAAGCCACTGAATTGTACACTTGAAAATGGTTAAAATTTGTAATTTTTATGTTATGTATGTTTTATCATAATAAAAAAAATGTCCCACTCTCTCCAGCTTCAGCACCCTCCCAGGGCCTTTATGTATTCTAGGGCCCAGATCAAGGGCCACTTGTGTCCCCACAAGGGTCTGGACTCTGGACCCTCTCACTCCCCACCAGCTCCCCCGCCCGCTCCCCGCAGTGTCACATTAAGCTTTCTGAGGACATTTCCCTGCAGGATGCCTTCTGGGGGCATCTGTGTTTGGATTGGGCCCAGTGTTTTACTCAAATAAATGCATTACTGATGGCTGAATTTCCTGTGGCAGTGGCCCAACTGTGGGAAGATATTCAAACATGCGAGGTGGTTTCTGGAGTCTTCAAAACCCACCATACCAAAAGGCAGCTGTGGCTCGGTCATTCTCACAGGGCAAGAAGGAAGCGGCAGATAGAGGCTGAACGTCCTGCCCCTGAGACTGACTTCATGCCTCCAAGTGTTGCCATCGAATCAGCCCATTCTTTTGGTACCTCCTCAGTCCCGAACCAGGATGCCTGGATATCTTTGCAGCTCAGGCTGGGAAATCACATCTTCTGGGTACTTCCGCTGCAGCCCTGGGGCAAGAAGTCCTGGGTTTGAGCTCCTTACTAGCTGTGTGACCTAGGGCAAGTTACTCAACCTCCCTGTGCCTTAGTTTCCTTGTCTTTATAACAAGGATCAACAGAGTTTTGGCCTTAAAAGGTTTTTTGCTTTGTTTGTTTTCATTTAGGTATTGTTATATAACATAAAATTAACCATTTTAATGCATACAAGTCAGTGGCAATTTAGTGCATTCGCCGTGTTGTGCAACCACCACCTCTGTGGAGCGCAAAAACATTTTCATCCCTACGGGGGTTATTTTTGAGGATTAAACGTGTGAATGTTTGTAAAGCCTTCGAACTGTGCCTGATACAGCACGTGCCAAGTAAGTGCTCAATAAACTGTAGGAGTGATTGATAGGAAAACGGAATAGGAAGCACGTGGCAGGTGGTGCTATTACTAATTCGCTTCTCTTGGCTGGAGGAGGAGGGAGTGAGACTCTCATTCCCTTCTAGGCCCCATTTTCCACTTTGAGCTCTCTGTACCCACGCAGCGATCGCACCCCTTCCCCCCCCAACCCAGTGGCCTCCTCACCGCAGGGGCGGCGCTGATGGTAGCCAGGAGACCTGGAGACTCCCCGCAGTCTCAGGGCCTCTCCTCTGCTCCTCGTGACTTTTCTTGCCCCCAACCCCTTTATCTCCCACGCCAGCTCCTACTCCCCCAAGATGCCACCTTCTGTGGCCAAGAAGACACGAGTGGGGTAGCCAGGACGATTCAGCCTGGGTGGAAAAGTATAATAGGAGCGTGAGCACGCCCACAACTAGGAGGAGCTCTTGCGACCGGACCTCCCCCACTTACGAGAGCGCACCGGCTCCCTCCCCAGGGCTGGCATTTACTCCAAGCATCCTGGGATCCCCAGGCGCTAGGAATGACCTCCAAGCTCCCCCCACACTGCCAGGCCTGTCCGCTTAGAAGAACCACTTGGGGAGCTTGTTAAACAAGCACGTTCCCAGGCTCTTCGAGCAGTGCACGGGATTTCAACATGCACCCTGCTGAGGGAAGTCTTAGGAGTTGGAGAGTTTGGGATATATTGCTCCGCCCCACCTTTCCAGGTGTAAACATCCCAATTTGTGGTTACTTTGTGCCAACTCAATGCCTTTCGTGCTGTAACAACGGCCAACAGTGTGAATGCTCACTACGCGTCCTGCACTGACGCCCAGGAGGAGCATGAGTTTCCCTGATGAACCCCGGGTCCAGCGATACACCCCGGACTCCCATCTTCCTCGACAATTCCCCTTGGTGGCGACCCCAGGAGCCATGGACTGTCGTTTGCTGCCACCTTGTGGCAGGGATGGGAACCGTGTGCTCCATTTCCATTCTTGATAACCTTAACCAAGAAAACGCAGAGTACTTACCCGTGTTCCATGTCCCCAGTAAGATCCTGCGGACGTGGGGCAGATGAATAAGACAGACACGGTCTCTTGCCCTTGCGGAGCTCACAGTCTCCTGGGTCAGACCTACAAATAAATAAAATGAATGAATAAATAAGGTGATTACAGAGTGTGACACACGCTAGGAAGGAAGCAAACGGGCTCTTTATCACAAGCTGCAACCATATATTTGCTAAACAGAGCGCTGTCTGTCTCCCTGTACACACTCTCCCTGCCCAGAACTGTGGGCCACGCAAGGGCAGGCAGCTTGTCTGACTCCCTCTTGCAAATGGGTGAAGTCACAGAGTGCTGGCACATAGTAGGTGCTTAGTAAATGTCAAGTGAATGAATACACGGATGACAAGGCTGTCCAGAGCCAGCTTCTTGGCTCCTCCAGGACAAACAGATGGGGAGAGGGAAGGGAGGGCTGTGGAAGGAAGGCTGGGTCCCCGGGATCCTGGGAGGGCCGGGAGGGTTTACTTGTGAGCTAAAGTGGGAAGGATGGGAAATCGTCACCCTCCCGGGGAAGCCCCAGTCCACCCTGTTTTAAATTGTACCCTCACTCCGCTCGCTTCTTGAATCCCTTCCCTGGTTATTTTTTCACCTTGGTATTTCCCCCCATCTCACATAGTACTATACATTTGCCTTATTTATTTAATGTCTGTCTCCCCCACTGAAATGTAAACTCTACGAGGGCAAGGATTTTTTACCTGTTGTGTTCACTGATGACTCTCCAGCGCCTAGAAAGGCCTGACACTTAGCAGGAGCTCTGTAAAAGCAAGCATGTGAATGAAAGACGCACGTTGGCGTCTTAGGGCAGGGCCAGAAGGGCTCTGGGGCGTAGCCAGTGGAGGGAGCAGATTCAGAGCCCAGGAGGAGGGGGTTGACCCGAGTTAGGGAAGGGGCCAAACGTGAACTGTACTAGGGCCAGCGGGGCTGGGCGGGGCAAGGGTTCGCCTGGGAGCAGAGCTAGACTGGGGTTGGAGCCTTGGGGCGGGGTCTTCCTGGGGCTGAGCCATCCCCGAGGCTGCGTGCTTTAGGGGCGGGACCCTATGGAAGCGTGGCCTGCATGAGGAGTGGCCAGTCTGGAGAAAGGGCCGGGGTGGGGGCGTGGTCAAACAAGGATGCATAAAAAGAAGGGAGGGGCTAAGGCTGGGGTGGGGCCAGTCTGGGGCGGGGCCTGTCCAGGGGGTAAATCTGGGCGGGGCCGGGGCTGAGCGGAGAGGGAGGGCGGGGGCGGGGCCAGGCCAGGCCGGGACCTACTCTGTCCTGGGTCCTGGAGCGCTCCCCCCTCCCGCAGGCCCCTCCCTGACCGGCCCCGACGCAGGGTGTGCTGGTCAGGACGCCCCACGCTCGGCGATCGCCGGCCCGGACTGCAGGGTCCAGCGATCGCGGTTGCGCCCCGCCCCAGGTGCTGCGCTCTGGGCCAGGCGGCCGCGGGGGATCCGGGCGGGCTCAGCTCCGTGCTGCCGTGGGGCTGCGTCTCGGAGACTCCGAGGGCTAGGGTGAGCGGGGCTTCGGGGGACCTGTGCGTGCATGCGTGTGGGCGCATGCATCAGTGTGTGTGCGTGTGTGTGAACCTCTATGCGCATCCTAGAGGGGATGCTGTGTGCGAGCATGGAGTTGAGTAGGTGCGTGCTCCAGGGAGCTGGGCGTGTGTGCAAAGTTGAGTGCGTATGCAAGGGCGGTCTCGTGTGGGAGGGGAGTCGTGCATGTGTGCGCGTGTGTGGCAGAGACAGTGCGTGTGAAATTTGGTGAAGACTGTGTGCGTATGTTAGGATGTCTTGGAGGAAAATGGGAGGGCAGGTGCAATGATTCTTGGGGGGACTGCAGGGTCGGGACGCCCATGGTAAGCTGTGGGGTGCAGTGGGTGAATGAATTGTGGGAGTGTAAGAATTGCGAATGTGTGTGTTTCCAGGTGGGTGGCTTTATGGGGTTTTCCGGGGGCCCTCAGCATGAGGATGGAGGAACGTTTGGGGGTACTGATTGCTCCTGAGGAGTGAGTGTGGTCTGGGGCATTGAGTAATGGACAGGGCAAGTGTTTGGGGCATGGCCCAAAGTAATTTGGGAATCACATCGGCCCCTTTGCTTTGAGGGCTGGGGAGATGTGCGGATGGGGCCAGAGGGATGGGCCTGCCCCTTGCTGGGGGAGCAGTGGGCAGGGTTCCTGCTTCCCGTGGAGGGAGCTGCTCCCTCACCAGATACCCTCACCCAGGCTCTGTGCCCATTCCTGCCTGGCTGGCTTCCGCTGGTGGTCCTGCGAGAACATGGTGCAGAAGTACCAGTCTCCTGTCTGCGTCTACAAGTACCCATTTGAGTTGGTCATGGCGGTGAGTGACCTCTGACCCTGGGGCCCCTTGTGTAACAGTTGGAGGGAAACAAGAGGTCAGCTATGATGGGAGGGAGACGGAGACCCTTGGATCCCCAGATCAGAAGGAATTAATGAGCTACTCCACTAACCTTGTGGGTCCAGCTTCTAACCAGGCCATCCCACCTTTCCCCACAACTTCTAGAACCCTTGCCCGCTGACCCAAACACAAGGTCTTTCTTTCTTTTCCTTACTGAAGCTTATCTGTTTGCACCTTGGTCTCCTTTGTCAGAAAACAAGGATAGCAAAGGCCGAGTTGTTTGCTGGCTGTCGTTTTGTGTACTGATAGTAATAATAATAATAATAATAATAATGGTACATATTCTAATGAGGATGATGACAGCAGCCATTCACTGAGGGTTTGCTAAGTTTACATACGTTGTTTTGTTTAATTCCCAGAAGCTCTTATTATTCTCATTTTACCTCCATTAAACCAAAGCTCAGACAGGTGAAGGAATGGCCTTAAGTTCTGTGGCCAGGAAGAGGTAGAGCCGGGCTTGGACCTGCACGGGGACAAGGGGGTAATTCCAGAGCCACAACACCCCCCATGTCCTCCCTCTGCTCACACACCCCCTCCCCTCCCCTTCAAGGAAGCTGAGACCAGGGGGAGAGGGGGCATGTGTGGGCAGGAAGGGTCCGAGAGCAGTTGTCTATGCAACATAGAATTGTCTCCCAGGCCCTCCTGGATCAGTGGTCTGTGCACTGTGGGGCAGGTGCTGGGGACAGGCAGACGTGGGTTTCCTTCTTGGTGCCAATCACTCTGCCTCTCAGAGCTTTCCTCCCCAGTAAAACAGAGGCAGTGCTATGGGGTTGTGGTGAGGAGTGAATGAAATAGTGCCTGGTGCCTCTGGCTCAGTGCCTGGCACACAGTAGGTGCTCACTAAATGCAGCTGTCCCTGTTATTACACCATATGGTGTTTTAAGTGATTGTACTGAAAGTGTAAGAAACACCAGAATCCACCCACATTGTCCTCATCCCACCCTTGGTTGCTTAATCCCAGCCTTCTTTCCAAGGACTTTGATATCAGTTGACAGCTCTGTGTATGTGTCCTCCCCTAACCTATTCTATGAATCTACCTACGTATGTCACATAAAAGATGAAAAAGCATCATTGCAGTAATCCATACATGTCGTGCTGTAATGTGTAGATGGTTCCAGGTCAGGAAAGAAGCAGGAGCAGGCCTGGGCTTGTACTGACAAGCTGGGTGACCTTGGGCAAGTTACTTAACCTCTCTGAGCCTGCACTTTCCGTCTCTAAAATGAGGATTACATGGTTTCCAAATCTGGGGGTCTGTTGTGGATTAATTGAGTCAACACATGTAAAGCTCCCAGTACAAGGTCTGGCACAGACCAAATGCTATTACTGTTATTGTTACTGTTATTGTGTTGTTTTCTGTGTGACTTTCCTTCATTTGTAAAGGGGGTGGGACACCCCAGAGACTTAGGGATGTGCAGTCAGAGGTGCTGCGTCCCTGCCGTTGCCTGGCTGTGCTCTGGCTGTGTGTCTTTAGAAAGTCACTGAATTTCTCTGAGCCCCCATTTCTTCCTTTGTGAAATAGGACTGGTTATATGCACCTCATAAGGTTGTAACTAGGATTGAAGGTGATTGTAGTGCATGTGTGGTGGGGGGTGGGGGAGGGGAGGTGGCCAGCACAGGGCCTGGTCTATACTTAGTGGACAATAAATGGCAGCTAAATATAAATAATCATCCTCTGTCTAAGGCTCCAGACAGCTCACATATTCTGACCCTAGGACTCATTCATTCATTCATTCATTCACTCAATAGAAGAGAGACACTGTCCCCACTTTGCTGGGATAACCTATGGCCCAGAAAGCCATGAAGCCAAGAAGCTGAGACAAACGACTATAGAATGGAAAACTAGCAAATTTTTATTATTGCATGGGCTTAATAAATGTGAATTTAATTTAGTATGTTTAGGATTCTCAAAAGAATATTTACAATCATTGCATTTTAAAATAAAAATGCCTGCTAAGACTTAAGACTTAGCACTTAGGATTGTATTAATAGGACTGTTGGAATATGTGAAGTGTATTTTGTCAGCTTTGAGTTCCATAATTGACTCAGTTTACTCCCCTAGCTGTTAACAATCTCTAGGGGTTGATGGATAAATGCTTGTGGGTACAACAGGAAACAAAAGTTTTCAGATATTTATTATCTGTATTGTACTAATTTGTCATTTGTATTTTTCAAATACTATGTCGCCTTATCTCCATACAGTCCTTGTTGGTGAAAGGGCCCCAAACTGCCCCAACGTTGTCGACAAAGCCACTTTGCCGACTGTTTACAAAACATCATTGTCCCCAGAATAGCTGCATAACTCAACATAACTTGCTCGCTGTGCGGGCACAAAAGGGTTTTTCTGCACTTAATGTCGGTCTTTGTTTCTCAGCTAAACACTTGCCCTCAGTTTGGGTCAGATGCCAGGGAAGTTTCGGATGAACTCAGCTATTTTGACCACATCCGAGTGACCAGACAAGCTGGCTTTTGGTTTTTCTGTTTAACAAAACTGACTTGAGAATCAAAGCACCCCTTCACTTCTTCAGAAATCCACCAAACCACTGAAGTTCACAAACCACTGAAACTGGGTTTGTGGAATTGGTTATAAAATAGTACTAAGGCAACCTTTCTAGATCCAGCTTAAAACTTAAAAAAAATGATTTCTCTCTTTCATTTCAAAAATGTAACTAACCCACTGAGTGGGTATCTCTCTCCTTGGGCCAAATTCCTTGACGTGAATTCTGTTTCTGAAGGATGGAATTCTAGGGACCTTTGCTTTCTCCTTTCTTGATAGTATTCTGTATTATTGGGTTCAAAACAATGAGCTTGTATTATCTTGGTAAGCAGAGGAATACAATTAAGACAATGGAGGCAGCTGCCTATCAGGGTTGGAGAGAATCCCTTGTCCCTTTGAATGTGGGGTCCCCGAAGGTGGGGGGGTCTTTGTGGAGATCCCAGTATGTAGAACACAAAGACCATGTTTTGGACTGTGGACTGTGGTTACTTGAGCCCTGAAGGCCACTCTCTGGTCAGCCTACAGCCTGTTGTGAATGATTTCCAGCTCATCTGGGCTCTTCTCCTGAATGGGTGGAGGTTACGAGCCGGATCCTCCAGGCTGGGTCCCTGCTCCAGTTTCTTACCTGTGAAATGGAGATAATAAAGGCCTCTTCTCCTCAGAGAGCTGAAGTGAGGATTAAGTGAAGGGACATGTGTACCCGGACAGAGCCTGGCATGTTGTTTAATGCTCATGAAATATCCCTAAAGTGTATTATTATCATTTATTGTTTTAACAGCTTTTATGAGCTATAACTCACCTACCATACAATTCACCCATTTAAAGCGTCCAAATCAAGCAGCCGCGTAGCGCAGGGAGATCAGCTCGGTGCTTTGTGACCGCCTGGAGGGGTGGGATAGGGAGGGTGGGAGGGAGGGAGACGCGGGAGGGAGGAGATATGTATATATGTGTAACTGATTCATTTTGTTGTAGGGCAGAAACTGACACACCATTGTGAAGCAATTATACTCCAATAGAGATGATTAAAAAAAAAAGGTCCAAATCAAGGGTCTTTAGTATATTCATAGAGTTGTGCAACCATCACCACTGTCAGTTTTAGAACATTTTCATCACCCCGGAAAGAAAGCCCAAACCCTTTAATCATTATCTCCTAAACTTCCCCGTCGGGCCTGGCCCTTGACAACCACCAATCTACTCTCTGTCTATGGTTTTGCCTATTTCGGACATTTCATATAAATGAAATCATACACTATGTGGCCTTTCGTGACTGACTTCTCTCACTTAGCATAATATTTTCAAGGTTCATCCAGGTTGTAGACTCTATCAGTATTTCAACCCTTTTTGTGGCTGAATAATATTCACGTTATGTGGATAGACCACATTTGTTTATCCATTCACAAGCCTATGGACATTTAGATTGTTTCAAATTTGGGGCTATTATGAATAACGTTGCTGTGAACACGGATGCACAAGTTTTTGTGTGGGCCTATTCCTTCCAAAGAAACCCCTGCTGTGAATGGTGGTTGTTATTTAGAATATTTAGGCAGATTCTATTTTAAATTTTATTTAACAAACATGTACACAGCACCTACTAGTTTTGAGTCCATTCAAATATTAACTCATGTGCTTCTCAGAACTACCCCATGAGCTAGGTTCGTTGGGTAACCCCATTTTACAGTTGAGGAGACTGAGGCACAGAAAGGATGAATGGATTATCCAAGGCCACACAGCGAACACATGGCAGGTGTGGACTTAACTGCAGGCAGTTTGGCTCCAGAGTTTACATCTCCAACCATGAGCTCTGCTGTTTCTCAGGGCTGAGGATCTGAAGTTATTGGGGTGGACTCTGGGCCGAGTAAGCCGTCCCATGGGGCAGTTACCATCAGGTTTGTGTCTGGAATGTCCACACCCCATCAGAACCCTGCAAAGGAGAGCAGAGCCAAAACCTACAGTCCCTGGCTTCTTGGAGGGCAGCTGATCACAACAGTCCAGAAAGGTTTAACGAACACTCTGTGTGCCCACCCCCTCAGGCCAGCTCAGAGGCAAGTACTTTAATAGCAACCTCAGCTGCAGCAGAAGAGGAAACTGAGGCTTAGAGCGGTTAAGGAGACTGTCCCTGTGTCAGTGTATTTTTTTGCTAAGGCCGCGTAACAAAGCATCACAACTGGGTGGCTTAGAACAACGGAAATGTATTGCCTCCCAGTCCTCGAGGCCAGAAGTCCAAGATCCAGGTGTTACCTGGGTCGTGTTCCCTCTGAAGGCGCTTGGGAAGGATCTGCTCCAGGCTTCTCTCCTGGCTTCTGGAGCTCCTTGGCTTGTGGTGGCATAACTCCAACTTTCACATGGTATGTTCCCTGTGTGTGTGCACTTCTATGTTCAAATTTCTTCTTTTTTTTGTTTTTGGCCACGCCGCGCAGCTAGTGGGAGC